GCCCGGCCAGAAGTTCGCTGCGGGCGACAGTCAAACCAACCCTGTCACCATCCCGTTAGGGAGACTGTCGCCCGCACCCAGGGTGCACCACGGGGAGGTCTTCTGGCACGCACCCCAAGGGCACACAGTAATTGGTTAATCGGTGCCACAGATTTATTTCGTTAAATACAAGTAAGGTTGAGCAGGTAACCTGTATCTTATGAAAACGTCAATTCATCCCCTAAATTATAAGGAACCCCTAATGATATAGGTGACACTTAAACGTTGGTGAAAACAAAACTTGCGAGAAGTGCCCCTTATATTGGCTTAAGTGACACTTAAATTTTAGGGGCTGTTGGTGAAAACGGGCATTAACCTTTCTGTTCCTCCTCCTGCTCAGGATCGGCTCGGCTGCTAAGTCGCGGGACATTATGCTTGAAGCATGCACCCGCATCCCCAGCTAAAGGGTTATCTGTATTATTTAATTATTTATATTCCAAAATAACTTTACAAATGCAAAAAGACTACACTTAACTTTGACATTCTTATGTGCCCTTTTTACAAAAATATTCTGCTTCTGACTGATACGAGAAGAGATAAAAAATATTGAAACACCCTTCTTTACGAGTTTTGTTATATGTAGAGAAAAACTTCTATTAAATGTTATCGTGTCCTAAGAGTCTGTTTATTTGAAATAGGTCTATTGATCGTACAGCTGAATTGGGGAAACCCAGTAATGTATGTTACGATATTGTTATCATTTCTATTATACCTGACACCGATGACCTCCAATAGAATAGTTGAGTGAGTTAATCCTTAGTTTGCCGTATAGTCGATCTAAGTCAGACACAATGTATTTTCTATTGTGTCTCGAATACTGTCTATATATCATAATATATATTATTTTATCTTCGAGATATATGATCTAATCTCAAATAATCACTTAGATTTCAATTTTATCTGCCACACCCTCTTTGCCCCTCGCTAGCTAGATATAATCTATAAAGTTCATTACAAACAAAACAAATGACTAATACTAGGTACTATATTATAAATACGAAAGTTACGATGTTTGGATGTTTGTTACTCAATCACGCTAAAACGGCTGGACGGATCTGGATGTAATTTGGCACAAGCATAGGATACACTCCGGAATAGGACATAGGCTACTTTGTATCAGCATACCAAGGGTGAAGCCGCGGCCGAAAGCTAGTTTATTACATATTATTACCTATACATATAAACCTTCCTCTTCTATAGCTCTGTCAATTAAGAAACCATTAAAAAATCCGTTGCGTAGTTTTAAAGATTTAAGCATACATTGGGATATAGGGACAGAGAAAGCGACTTTGTTTTATACCATGTAGTGATGATATAAACCAAGCCTGTACAACCGTCTAACTACATAATTATTACGTGTCGCATAGCATGGTACCTGACAATAAAAGCGTCCTTGTACCTACTCGCACCCCGGACTTTGTGACAAATCTATACTATACTAATATTATAAAGAGGTAAAATTTGTAAGTTTGTATGTAGGGTAATCTTTGAAACCGCTGGTCGGATTGCCAAAATTCTTTCACTGATAGATAGCTACAATGTTCCTAAGTGCTATAGGCTATAAAACATCACACTTCAATTAAATAGCCGAGCAGTGGGTGAAACCGCGTGGAAGTAGCTAGTCGCTATTATTCATGAAACATTAAAACTGCAAAAAAAGCTTTTTCCATTGGTGTTATTGCGTCATACTGTGTAATCTTATTTAAATCTTGGCAGAGTTTTCAGGCTTGCCAAATGTGTCACTGGTGTTGTAGTAATGATTATTGTAAACAATTTCATTGAATATTTTAAATCAATTAAACCTTATAGTAATTCTCGCATGAATGATATCACCGGTCTACGCTTTGTTCTAATAAATATGCATTAAATTAGCTACTCTCTCGCGGTTTCACCCGCTGCTCGGCTCCATTTTTTCGTAGCGTGATATTTTATAGCTTATAACACTCAGGAACACTGTAGCTATCTATCAGTAAAAGAATTTTGGCAATCCGACCAGCGGTTCCAAAGATTATCCCCTACATACAAACTTACAAATTTTACCTCTTTCTAATATTAGTATAGATAAATCCAGAATAAAGCTAATTGGATTTCGTTTTCGAAGAATTTTAGGCATATAGGTAGAATTAATTTGAACAGTTTGTAATCCTTTATTATAGGGGCTAAGCTACTGTTAGAGGAAAGTAGGTACCTGATTAATATTCTACATTTATTTATACAAAATTCCGGCAGTTTAACACGCGAAATGTGGGTGTAGTTTACAAATAAATGAGACCGTTAAAATGCCCATGTAACTGAATATTTAATAGAGCAAATACCTGGTTCTGATACAAATTATTTGTGTCTCTTTTTTTGGGATATTCGGCAAACGAGCAGACGGTTTACCTTACGGTAAGCAATCTGCGCCGCCCTTGGACACCCGTAACACCAATGGAGTTATGAGTGCGTTGCCGGCCTTTTGGGGATAGGGGTTGCGGATATTTAAGGATTGGGAAGGGATAGGGGAGGGGTGAGATTGGGCCTTCGGTAACCTCTCTCACATGCCGAAACAATGCTGTGGTTGTTTCACGGTGGTTTTCTGTGGGGCCATTCGTGCCGAAGCTAGGCTCTAGACTCTTAAAATTTATATTATAAATAGGGCCCAGAATAGTGTCCTCGAGACACTCTTTAGTTGAATAAGTGTGCTGCTTCTTCTTAAAACTAAATATTAAATATTTTACTAGCTACTCTCGCGTGGTTTCACCCGCTGCTCAGCTCTATTATTTTGATCATAGCGTGATATTTTATAGCCTATAGCACTCAGGAACATTGTAGCTATCTATCAGTGAAAGAATTTTGGAAATCCGACCAGCGGTTCCAAAGATTACCCCCTACATACAAACTTACAAACATACCTCTTTATAATATAGATTGCCATGGTGCCACAAGGTGAGAGAAGTGTTTCTCCGAAAGTAATAGTCAATAGCCAATGACGCAATGTCACTGATGTCGGTGGTGTCTTAAAATCTACGTAGATAAACAACTTGGCAATAAGCCGACAGACAGAGATCTTGCACTTTTAGTCAGTACTAGCGCCAGTCGGCACATTACCACGATGCGAAAGATCTGTATAAATAAAAGCACGTGTTCTTGAAACTGTTTGACAAATTTCATCTAAATCTAGATTTTGCGTCATAAATTCTATCTAGCTCACAGATTCTCGTGATTAGAGTTTATTCTCATTGGTTTTTTCCACAAATTTTCACACACACATCAACAGCCTATAAGTGCATACTGCTGAGCAAATGCCTCTTCTCACACGGAGAAGGTTTGAGCATTAATCACCACGCTTGCTCAGGGCGGATTGGCGATTTCAAACGTATAATTAGTAATTATAGGTCCAGGTTTCCTCACGATGTTTTCCTTCACCATATGTCAATGGTGTCTAAATAATCATAGAAAGCACATAAAAAAAAAGAAACTCGGAAAAAGTCACATTGTTACTTGCCAGGTTTCGAACCCGCACCCTCGTGCATGAGAAGCCTTAACCTCTAGGCCACCCTGACATTGAACACACATTTTACTTTTAATTATTACATTAAATGATTGCAGCTCTAAGGCCAAATCCATACTACCAATCATCACTATCACTACATAGTATAAAATAAAGTCGGTTTCTAGTCTGTCCCTATATCCCTACATTATGCTCAAATCTATAAAACTATACAACGTATTTTGATGCGATTTTTAATAGGATTTTTTGGTGATTGAAGAGGAAGATTTTTATGTATAATAACATCCATTAAATAGTGAAGAAATATAGTATCAACACTGCATCCCTGGGTAGCCGAGGCGGGCCGTTAATTTTATGAAACGATAGGTCGCTACTTTGAAATATATATAAATTAATAATTTAATATGCTAAGTTATAGAAAACTGATATCAAACAGTAATTAGAGCCGTGCATTGAGAAACAAATTCTGTCATGCATATTATTTGTCAAGATACCTATGTTATCTGAGACTTAACCAAGGCTGTATGCTAGTTTAAGATTCGGAACAGATATTTTTTACTTTCAAATTATTCAGTTCAAATTGTGTAATTAAGGTCTTTAATTACATGAAACTTCATTGCTGTGTTACAATGTGTGTTAAGATTATGTAGTACTTTTCTTTTTTGAGGGCTGGTTGGGGGATTGTCAACTTAGTTTTTCCGCCTTGGCTGGAGCAAGATACATCGTCAAACTCTTACTGACTAAAATTCACACCATTCCTTCATTGCATAACATTTATAATACTATTAGGAGCTCGCCCGTGTTTTGCACGGGTCTCATCATCTAGCTTACAATGAAAAGGTCCCTGTTACCCATCTCTCCCCTCTACTTTTCTTAAATTTTCTTTCATAAGAACCTTCTCCTGACAATAATACATATAACAAAAAAGAATCAGTAGAATTGGTCCAGGTGTTATTTAGTTATGCGCTTACCAACATATTTTGCGATTCATTTTTTAGGTATAATAGATTATTTCAATAAGTACCATATACTAGTTGATCATTAAATTATTTTATATGAAATAGCTATGCTACAACTGATAAAATAAAATAAGAACTTTTTTATTGTTTTTAATGTTCAATTTTATTGATTTTACTGAACATTTGAACAGTCTAAGAAGTGTTCTTAATTTAAAGGCTTACAATAATATTTGTTTGTCATAATTTTAAGTCTGTATCTATGCATCTCAGTTGGCAAGCCTTTCTTTCTTTCTTAAAGAAAATCCATTACTCCACAAGGCTGATGTTCAGCCGGGGTTGCGGGGTAAGCGCAATGTGGCACCGCGGCCTCGGCCCAAAACAGGAGAAGGAACGGGTCTTTTTAGTCAGTAAGAGTCTAACACTATCTCTCGCCTTACCCTGGGCAGGAGAAGTCATTTGATGATTTACCGCTGAGAAAATAAATAAATAAAGAATATCCATTATTTTTCCAGGACGCGGTGGCAGCAACATTAAGGAGATTGAAAAGGTTTCGGGCGCCAAAGTGAATGTAAAGGAGTTTAGCGATAAGGACCATGATATCTGTGTGATCAGAGGCCGGGCTGACGCCACGCAAATTGCTGAAACCCTCGTACACGAATTCATCAACCAACAACCTCTGAACATCGAAGACACTATGGATGTACCGTCGTGGGCTTGTGGCAGGATTATTGGTGAGTAGTTAATGGTTCTGTGTTTAACAAGTAAAATGTTTTTATATGTTTGTGAAGAGTAATCTTAGAACTGAGCTTTAAAGCAGATATCTTGAAATGTCGTGGTGGCCCGGAGGTTAAGATGCCGTTTCTTAGTAGGGTGCAGGTCCGAAACCTGGCAAATACTTGAATTTTTCCGAGTCATATGTCCTTTCTAAGTTCATTCAGACATTAGGTACAGACCTAAGGCGAAGGATATCGTGGAAAAACCTGGACTTACCTATAATTTTTAAAAGTTTGAAATAGCTAACCTACCTTGAACAAGCGTGGTAATTAATGCTGAAACCTTCTCCGTGTAAGAAGAGTCATTTACTCAGCAGAGGGCACATATCAGCTGATGATGTGATGTGATCTTCAACCGGTTACGCTCAAATTTTGTACATGTTTAAAGTTACCGTGATCATAAACGCTTAGCTGCATAAATTTAATCTTAATCCCGAACGAAAATGTCTCTAAAGAGCAAGAACCGAATAAAGTAAAACAAAAAAAACAATGTTACCTTTTTGCTTTTTCAGGATCTCACGGAGAGAATATAAACAGCATTAGCCACCGCAGCGGGGCCCGCATCAAGATCTCCTCGAATGGCGACAAGGCAACGATACGGAAAGTCATGTTCTTGGGTACAGAGGAACAGATAAAAGTTGCTAAGGAACTCATTGAGAACTGCGTAAGTAAATAATTTATTGAATTTTTTTTTTGTCAGGGGTAAATCATCAAATGTCTTCTCCCGCCCAGGGTAAGACGAGAGGGAGTGTCAGACTCTTACTGTCTACAAACCCCCGTCACTTCCCCTGTGAGGCAAAAGGGTTACACCGCAGCGGCTTTTAACCGTGTACTTTTTGAAAAAAAGGAATTAGTAGTCTAGAGCCTAGTCATCAAGTCTTGTATTTCAATTGGACTATAATACAAAGTAATTAAATATAAGAAGTTAAAAGTTGAATGAAACTTGCTCATTCCAAATGTTCCGGTGGCAAAAGGAGCGAAATTCTCAATAACCTTTCTTTTTCAATTAGCTCATACAAATGATTAAGTACATAATATACCTGACGAGTCCCAATTGACGACGCTCTTTCACTAACATAACACGCACACCGGCACCGTCCACCTCAACCATTTTGTAGGGAATCAAGCGATCCAATACCCATGCCATCGCCGATGAGATCTTTAATAAGGAAAATCTACCAACATAACATAACAAGGTGTAGAGCAAACATGTAAAGTATTTATTTTTACAGGTCGCCCAAGAGAAATGTCGTCGGGAAATCGAGCAATCGAAGCGTAGTCCGCGCCATGTACAATCGTCATCAAAATCACCTTCACCAACGCCCGGTGTGAACTCAAACGAAAACGTCGACGATGCGTCAGGTGACTCTCAAGTGCAAAGGCATGTCAAATATAAACGGCCTGGTAAGAATTGCTAACAGCATGCTTATTACTGTCCTTAGAGTAATATTTTATTATAAGAAAAATGACAAATTGTTTAGTATTAAATACTTTAAAAAAAAATTGAAATTAAATTTTGTCTCTCGAACCACAGATTAAAAACAACGCGTAGATATCTTGCGTTAATTTTTTTTTTCAAAATTATTTTTTATTTTTCTTTGCGGTTTATTCTATTTATCTCAAAACGTGCAGTTTTGAATAAATCACAGGAATCTCAAGTTTTAGCCAGATGAAGTATTAACGTCAAATCCAGACTAGAACATAGTAAGAAAACAAAATTTGTACTTAGAGGACAGTATTACAATGTATTTGCTATATTTGCTGTGTTTTAGCACCTGGTTTGGTTTATAAGCCTGTGAGTGTGTCTCACAATCGCCAGGATTTCCCTCCCAATTTGTAAACGTAGTACTAACAAAATCCAACCCAAGTACTATTTACAGCAGTGGTGGGCAAACTTAATAAGTGGTCAGTGACAAAGATTTATTCGTCTATGTAATATTTATTATGATAAAATTGGCTCAAAGGACTTGTATCCAGGCCATAAACTCAAAAAAAGAAATATATATAAAACAAAGTGGGGTTTATATGACATAAACCCCACGTTCAGAAATAGCTATGGTATCGCCTGAAATTCTTATCAGTCTAATATTTGCCTACAAGCCATAAGTGGCTTACAGGCAATCGTCCATAGGACTTAAGTTTCTACGTGATATAATTAACATAAAGGCCTAATTTTGCCTACATGCCATGAAATTAAGATACTCGACATAAATTGCCTACAGAAAAAGTTTGTCGACAGGATATAATTTGTCTACAGGACATAATTTGTCCACAGGACAGAATTTGTCCACAGGACAGAATTTGTCTACAGGATATAATTTGCCTACTTTATAAATCTGTCTACGGGTCACGATTTGCCCGCCACTGATTTACACAGTATACTGTTGCCGTGTGACATGCACTGGTGTGACGTGAAGTATATAATTATATGTTTAGTTATTTATGTGTGTTTATGTTTTGTGACGTCACGTACCGTTTGCGTGGGGTGGGGTAGCTAGAATGGTAAATTTTTTTCTATATTTTGACGTTTTTTTTGGTAAGATAAGGTGGAATAGGGTGATGGATGTTTTTTGGTTTTGATTTAGTTTGTCTTTGTTTTGGGGGTTATAGGTTTTGTTGATGGCTGAAAATGCAGTTTTTTTTTCGGTGATTCGGGTTATTTTATTTAGCATGATTTGAAGTGGGTCCCATCGTTTTGCATTATGCGAAAAATGTGATTTTAGAGACACACCCAGATATGTGTCATTCGATCAGACAATTTATAAAATTAAAGAATTTTAAAAACTTTCAGATTTTACTGTCAATACATAGTAATCTTTTTTGACTAGAATATTCCATTTTCGGTCTGTAAAAACATTTAGGTCCTGTTTCACCATGTAGATTTCAGAATAGCCGCTATTTATTTATTTACTATGTGACACATAAGCGCATCGGTTACTTAAAGGGCGTCCATAAATTACGTGAGGTGTTTTTTTTTAATTTTCTGCCCTTCTCTTCCCCCCTGGTGAGATGTCGTGAGATTTTTCAACCCCCCCCCCCCATCCCCGAATCACACGTGAGATTTTTCAAAATGTGAGTTTCTTACGTAAAAGCGTAAAAATAAACAAATTTGCATCGTCCTTGTTAGTAGATGATCTTAATCTCACTACGATTACGCTTAAGATTAAATCTTAAGCATGTACAATCTGGATTAAACAGACCAAAATAGAATATATTTTTTTGTTTCAATCATAAAAAAAAAATGCACGAAAGATTAGATGATATTTGACTCGACGCCCTCCCCCCTTAAACACCTCACGTAATTTATGGACGCCCCCTTATGTGAAGATAGTGAAACAGGTCCTAAATAGACTCACTATTAATTATATACTCCCTAAGATACTAATATATTTCTCCACTCCCCCCTATAGAGAACAGGGGTGCTCCGATAGAAGTGTACGTGTCAGCTGTATCATCCCCCTCTCGTTTCTGGGTACAATTCGTGGGACCTCAGGTGACGCAACTAGACTCCCTTGTCGAAGAAATGACCGAGTATTACGGTAAAAAGGAGAACAGAGAGAATCATGCTGTAAGTAATGGTTTATTTATTAGTTAAGTTAAATATTAGAGTTTGTATTAACGCTAGTAGCAATAGCGCTTGCTTTGTTTTACGCCGTATTTACCGAAGATCTGATTCTTCGCCTCCCCTTCAATCCCTCGTCCATCAATCATCCATAAATTCCCAACAACTTCCAAATGGCTTTGGCAATGCACTTTTAACTCTTCTGGTGTTTCGGATGTCTATGACGGCGCCGATCATTATCACCCTGGCTGAGTCAGACTCTTACTGACTAAAAAAAACCCGTTACTCCTCCTGATCTAAGCCGTGGCCGCGGTGCCTCATTGCGCTTGCCCGCAACGCCGGCAAAACGTCAGCCCTATTGGGCTCCTTCTGTAGTGGGACAAATTACGGCGCAATAATTTAGACCCTGCCTCGGCTCGGGGCAGTAGAAGGAGTGGGGCGGGCGTACCCTCTAGCCCCAACCAGGGTGGGAGAAAAGATATGATGATTCCCTCTTCCTCAAAGGCTATTATTAAGCACGACTATTAAATCCATGTTAAACAATACAACCCCAAAGCTTATACTCTTTTTAATTAGTTTAATGGTTTCGTAAATATTTCCAGCTCGAGCACGTGTCAGTGGGTCAGGTAGTGGCGGCTGTGTTCCGCCACGACGGGCGCTGGTACCGCGCGCGTGTCCACGATATACGCGCCAACGAGTTCGATGCATCGCAACAGGTCAGCTTACATACATCATCATATCATCATCCTAATCATCGTATCATCATAAGTCTGTTGCCGTCCACTGCTGGACAAAGGCCTCTTCAATTGCCCCAAATGCCACTTTAATCGATGTTCACGTTCAGATCTTCTCATCTTACCACGGCAGTGGTCATTACTTACTTAACACATTCAGTGCCCCCGACGCGTATGTGCGTGCGAGGAAACGCACATACGCGTCGGGGGCACTGAATGTGTTAACAAACTGGAATTAGGTAGTTTCAGACGTCAAAAATAAATGATTTTGACTTTTTCATCATCATCATCATCATCATCATCATATCAGTCATAGGACGTCCAATGCCTGCCCATTGAATTTTTTATTACAATCAAAATATAATCGTATTTTTGCAGGCATTGGTTTGTCGATATAACTAATTTTGTTTTTTTTTTCTAGATGATTTTGTTGCAATAAGTATGCTACTTGATGTAACAACGTTATCACGTCATATGTTGGGAATTCATACAAATCATAGAAACATATAGTTTTTGAATTGAGTTGGGCAAGGTGGAAAGAGGAAGTATTCTAGTAAAAAACAAACAAAGTATAGCTTGTTTCCATAACAAAAGCTTATTTAAGAAGCATAGTGATATACATAATATTAACACGAGGGGGAAAACAAATATGTTGTCCCCGCCTCCAGGCTTCAGAAAATAAGTAGTTCGTTTAGATGTCAATGTATACGCTTTTACAATAAAATTCCTAGGGATATTCAAAATTTGAGCCTCAATAATTTTAAAAGTGTAATAAAGGCTAAACTTTACTGTAAAGCATTTTATAAAATAAAAGACCACTTAGAAGATAGTCAGGCTTGGGAATGAGCCGCTGTAACTTCTGCACAGGTCATGTTGACATGTTTGTAACATAAGTTACGCTTTTTATATACAATTTGACATTACGTTTATTATTATTATTTTTTAACAATGACATTACCTATTGTGACATTTTTATTTTTGACATTTTTTATTTTATTTATTATTTTTATAATTATTTATTGACATTATTATTATTTTCTATTATTTTTAGTGTAAGGACCGTGTGAGACTTGCCGCGCTTTTGGACTACCAGTTATCTGCGTTCTGACAGTTTGAGTACTTGCGTGACCCAACCAAATGTTCTTTAGATCGGTATTGTTCGTCGGACAACTCAGCAGCACTTGCTATGCTGGTTGCAAACTGACACTTGCGTGCCTGTCTTCAGAACGGGTCCACTTAAACTGGTGTGGTTCTTTCATCAAAAGACCACTACAGAATGAACTTGCACGGTTCTCTCACATTATGTTATTTTTACATTGTCTGGACTTGAAAAGAGACTGACCTCTGAGTTTGTTTCGGCATTTCTTCTCAGAGTAGTCAGATAGGAAATGCCGGCTTCATCTAGTTTTTTACATATAAATTGACGTGTAAAAGTGCCGTTTTATGGCCTATTTGCAAAAATAAATTCATTGTTTCATTGTTTCATACGCGGCACATATTCTTTACCACCATGTGGCGATTGCTTACCAATCCCGTAAAAAAAACTTTAACATAAAAAAAATGAATTTTGGCAGGTTGCTGACGTATTCTTCTTAGATTACGGTGACAGCGAGTACGTGGCGACGCACGAACTTTGTGAACTGCGCGCCGACCTGCTGCGGCTTCGGTTCCAGGTATGTAACATTCGTGCTGGAGCATGACTTGGTAAAACAATCTTTACTATACTAGATCATCAACTATGAACATAATATTACAGGCGATGGAGTGTTTCCTAGCGGGCGTGCGACCGAGTCCGTCCAGTTCCGAGGTCCCTAAGGACCGTTGGCACCCGCAAGCCATCGAGCGCTTTGAAGAACTCACTCAGGTTTGTTCACATGTCAACTACACATGTACTTAGTATTTTTTTCTAATATTCGTCCTTTACAATTATTTAATAGATTAGACACGAGATTTTTGTTTACTTACAAAACCAAGTAAAAACACATAAATGTGTGCAAAGATTGTTGTACACGGTGCTTTGCAGTTTCTGTCCTATTCTATGAAACAAAGTCGTGACGTCATTCGAGTATTTGCATTTCTATTCGTCTTTTACAATAATTTAATAGATAAGACACGAGATTTTTGTTTACTTACAAAACCAAGTAAAAAACACATAAATGTGTGCAAGAAATGTGTACACGGTGCTTTGCAGTGTCTGTCCTATTCTATGAAACAAAGCTGTGACGTCATTGTTTGTATTACTTAGATTACGTATATTTTGAACAATAAATAAGAATATGTTTCGTCTACAGGTCGCAAGATGGAAGCCTCTCCTGTCCAAGACGTGCACGTACAAGAAGACTGCCACCGCAGAAGGCGAGAAAGAGAGGGAGATACCTGGCATCCAACTCTTCGACAATACTGAAGGTACGACAGTTACTCCTTGGAATCCTAAATTAAGTCAAATCTTAATTAAGGGCTGATCTTTCAATAGTCAGATAAATGTTATCTGAGGAATAAAATTGTTGCTGTCACTGTCTTATACGAACATTCTGACGCGACAGCATCATACTATCCCCCAGATAACTTTTATCTTCTTTTTTATAGCCTATTGTGTGTCCCACTGCTGGGCAAAGGCCTCCCTTTTTCTTTCCAAACTTCTTTGTCTAGTGTAATCTCCGGCCAAGTTTGCCCCGCGAACATGATCAGATCGTCACACCACCTTCGCCGTGGTCGACCTCGACGGTTTTTTAATCTTTTATCTAACCATTGAAAAATCAGCCCTAATACTGACGTACTTACCTATTAGACCGATGGTTCTCAAACAATTTAAGTGGCGGAGCCTTTTTAAAAGAAAAAAATGTTGACGGAATTTCAATATAAGAATTTTATTATTATTATTACTTTATCGCCTCGGTGATATCATCCAAGTTTTAAAGATTTATTGTAAAAATTCTTTTTGTGACTTTATCGATTCTATCACTAGGTCTCACACGTAAAATCTAAATACAAAGAAAAATAACCTTACAAAAAAACCTTGAAAAATGTGTTAGTAAACACATAACACAACCGAAAGAAGAAGGATAAAGAATTTGTGAAAGAATATTTTAGAAAATATTGGGAAAAATTGGTATGCAGGAACCAACATGCCTCGAAGCAGTTGGAAACCCATGCGAAAAAGGAAAGCAAATTACGGAGGATAAAATAACACGTAGGTATTAAAAATATGTATTGTGTTTTAGAAGGAGAAATCGACATCGGTGCCACGTTGATAGCGGAAGGCTGGGCCGAGGAAGGCCCCGGGGACCGACCCTCGCCCACACCCAACCGACCGCCCTTCGGAGACCTCGGCAACTCACGGTAAATATAATCACATCATTATAAAACAATTCCAATAAACATTTTATTTTTACCTTCTTATTAAAACAAGAGCAGGATGTCTATGGTCAAATAGGGTAGATGATTAATTACTATTTTATTTATTTTTATTACCTAATTGTCCGATTGAAAAGATTTTTTATCATCGTACCTTTATACAAAAAATAGGTTGTTTTACTATATAGTAAAACTATATAGTTATGCTATAAGTTCAATGTGCAAGAGGTTAGCTTAATACCATATTCTAAAGTTGTAAATTTTAAGTTTTAGAAGTTGGTCGTAAGTTTTTTTAATGTGTCCAATACTGTCTAGTCACAGTAAAATGAGTAAAAAGTAGGTTTACATTGTTATGTCCACCTCTGTTTAACTCTGGGATTAAAATGTATATCGCGCTACGTTATAATGTAATATATGTAAATATAATACATATTTATAATTTAATACTTGTTAATAGATAATAAAGAAAATGTTAAATCTACATTTTGGAACTCTTAGTCATTATAGCTTACTACCAGGCAAAGATGGTGGGCAATCGTCATTTTATCAAATCTTTAAAATCAAGATGACGCTGCCACCGATAATAGTCACTTTGAATTAAGCATGTTACCACTTTTTGCACATTTCGGTGTATATAATTATGTTTTATACTAATATGTGTATATACTTATTCTTTATACGCTAAATATGGATGTCAAAGAGGTACAATGCACACTGACAACGTATTGCATGATTTAAAAACAACGTACATCTAGTTGTGTCGATACAGCACGTTAGAGATACTAGAAATTAACAGTACGCACCTTTTTTACTAACTTTTATATTAATAGCCTTCTAATTTAGTTAATGTTTTGACACGAAAATAATATAAAAAATGTTTTTTTTTTTTAATATTCCTTGCCATCATCATCATCATTTGTCATTTGATTTTCAGCTCAGGTGCATCCATTACTCGATATAGGCCTTCCCCATACACATTTCTAGAATTTGATTATAACCTTTTAAGTGGTCCGGTTGACTATAGTCTACCAACAAAACCTGTCCCAATCCGACCTCCTCGGCCACAATCGAAAAGGAAATCACATTTTTTAAGTTCAAATCATGGGTAAGTAAGGTAAATAAAATAAACAACGAATCAATGCTTCGAAAATTATTTTAATAACAGCGTAGTGTCGTGGTGGCCGGGAGGTTAAGGCGCCCGCTTCTCATGCATGTGGGTGTGGGTTCGAAACCTGGCAAGTACCAATGTGACTTTTTCCGAGTTACATGTACTTTCTATGATTATTTAGACACCACTGACATACGGTGAAGGTAAACATCGTGAGGAAACCTGGACTTATAATTTCTAATTATAAGTTTGAAATCACCAACCCGCATTGAGCAAGCGTGGTGATTAATGCTCTGACCTTCTCCGTATGAGAAGAGGCCTTTGCTCAGCAGTGGGCACTTATAGGCTGATGATGATGATGATGATGAACAGCGTAATAAAATATTCGTAATAAAATTGTGTTTCTAATATGAGGGCGCGATGCTTCAATACCTATGGGCTGGCTCGTAGCTCATACCACGGCCTCATAGACTATCGGAATAAAATAAAGCTTTGGTTGTGTGAGGTTATTCATGACCCAACCTTTCCCCCATCCCCACAATCCCTAATCATCTTATCTCTAAAATGTGTGGTTTGTACCATCAATACCATCACACTTGGTACCGCCTACCCGTTTGCCGTCCCATGCCAAAATATATCATAAGTTAAATAAATACAAATTTTTATTTTGCAAAAAATCTAATTGATTTCTGTAGATCCGATAGCATTGTATTCACATTTGCCTATCACTGTCCGCTGCAGATAGGCGGCCCCTCAAATAGGGACGTCATTAGCTCTATGGGCGGCTGTAGTCTAATGGCTACTAAGGAACTTCGGATGTTTGGATGTGTACAGTGCAGAATGTTACTAGGTATGGCAAATTACTTTAGCACAATAAAACTTTTTACGTTAGCTCTACTACCTCTTGTTTCATTCCAATAACAAAAAGTTTTTACATTGCATAAAAAGGTTTTATTGGCGTTTAAAACTTTCGTTAATGCCTTTTAAGTGACGTCATAATATAAAAGCTCTTTGGCCACAACTGCACTCCAATACTTTGCTTGATGATCCGCAGATTAGAAAATACAAGTTTATGTTTTGTTTCTTAAGCTATGAATTTGAAAATAGGCTATATGTAAAGAAGATAACTGTTTCATGTCGACATGACATACAAATTAGTTTCATTTGCTTTTTAAAAAAAATCATGTCAATTCTATAAAAACAGTTATAAAAAAGGGATAAAAAAATCTGTTACATTATAGTAAATACTACTGTCAGCACAATGATGACTAAGTCCTTATCAATTTTACCTTATTATGAATAATAAAAAAATATATGATCATCATTATACATCATCATCGTCGTTATCACCACCGCCATCATTACATCATCACATCATCATCATCATCATCACATCACCATCATCACATCACAATCATCATAAGACTCGTCAAAAGGAATATCTATACTCGCCAAAATAAATAAATAAATTTGTTTTTTTCGTAGTATCCTTTATTCAAACAGCGCCCCACATGCTAACCCTAGTCTCGATTGGGTAATTTCCTAGACAAAGAAATAATTTTTACACAGTATTTTTTTTTTTTTTGATGCAACTTGTTTGATATATGACAATACTAAAAAAAATATACAAATAGTTAAACGAAATAAAAAATTACCTTAAACTAGCTTTCGACCGCGAGGTATGTTGGCAAAAAGCCTATGTGTTAATCCAGGGTATCAACTACCAACATACCGAATTTCAACCTAATCGGTCTAGCAGTTTTTGCGAGTAAGAACAACAAACGTACATCCATACATTCTCACAAACTTTCATATAAATCTATGACATTTTTGTTGATTTGTATTAAAAAAACAACATGATTGGTATAGGATCCTGACCAATACGAAACAAACGTATAGATCAATCAACTCTCTTTTCAAAACCAGACTCTAGAATAAAGTTAGAGAAAAAGTTAGCGGTCTTTTAAAGCAATTACCATAAAGGTTAAAAAGTATACTATTTCTCACGGTAAGGAAGGTACGCACGTGTTAGTTTACCTTTAGTTCAAATTATCAGATGATGCTAAACGATCTGATACAGGAACGACTTTAAATTTGAAATAAAACACTTTATAAAATAATATAACTATAATAAAAAGAAAAGATAAACTTAATACAATCATAATTAAATTCAGTTAAAATGATCGAAATTATCACATTATTATTTCACAGTCCAACAAACTTTACATGCAATTCCATTATACCAACATTTCTTGTTTTAAAATTTGAGAAATAATATACATTTTTTATATTTAATTAGCTATATTTTATATTTTCATCAATATTATTTTAATGAATGTATATTTTAACTCGAGTCTCCAAATGTTGCCATGGAAAATATTAATGTTGGCAACACTAACTTGGGATTCGGACAATAGATGGACCTAACGGTCCGATTTTTTGACCTGACAAGTTCTATAAAAAGTAATAAATAGACCGAGGACGGTGAAAAAGAAAGAATCGTTTGTCATTCAAACAGATAAGAAGTCGAATGTTAATTTTACTAAACTGATTTTTTCATAAAAGAACTATACTTCTACATTGACGCTACGCTTGCTACATAGACCTATCAAGAATTGGGTAGTTTCCTAGGTCAAAAATAAATTAATTCGACCTTTTAATATAATAAAATATTGAAAAATAACTATATTTTTATTCATCGATCGATCGATATACTAAGTTTTAGATATTTTTTAGCTAATTTTTTAAAAATAAGTAAGCTATTTGACGCAAAAATGCTATGACGTCATAATTCAATGTTTCATACAATTTTCATAGAATTTTTGACATTTGTAGTTAAAAGTATTGAATTTGACTAGTTGGAAACAACCGTATTTTTAAGGCTAGATACACAATAATGTGGCGTTTTTTATCTAACCATAATGAATAGGTATAGAAGACCGGCAGGTTTCGGCCTAACACGATACGTCAGTACTCAGTAAAATATTCCGGCTTAATTTCGATTTAAAAATAATTTTGCTTTTGATATTAAATGGAATATTGCCGAATTCCATGCTTTGGATTTAAATATGATAGTATTGAGCACCTATTAACATCACTGTTGGACTATCCGACTATTATTCAATTTGGCGTTTTAAAAGTACCTGTTTATTGTTTAGTTCGAATATGTTAATTTTTTTGAGATTGGGTCAAATGATATAATGAATAACGCATTTAAAATTAATTTTTCTAAACTGTTTCAAACCAGTGAAATTCAATACTATTATTGAAATGTATACGATACTTTTTTATAATTTTTGTATGAAATCGCAACATGTGACGTCATAATGTTTTACGTGAAATAGCATACTTTTATTTTAAAAAATGTGACAAAGAAAAAGTCTACAATTAAGTATTTCGTCAAGTCAATGAATGGAAGTATGATTGTATTTAAATGATTTATTTTATTTTTGACTTAGGAAACTACACAATTGTTTACCGATAACTTGTCTATGGAATAGTTGAAATATCAATTTTTTGTATAACGTATTTTTATTGTAAGTATCGCAGTTACGGTTAAAATGGTCTGACTTTTTCAGTTTACTGCTTTTTATGCAACGAAATGAATTTACAATTTTACAAAATAATGCACTTTATATTATTTTCGTGTCAAAATGTTATGTTTACTAAATCTCTCCTAAACCGTAGCACTAAAGTTGATTTTGCAATAGCACTGATATTAAACAAGAGTTTTGTATGAATGATGTTTGTGCAGGGTGTTGGGAATGCTAGACGGGGGACGCAGCTCCTCTGTGCCCAAGGATCATAAGGATAATCATGAAAATGGAACCACTGAAAACCACGACACAAAAGGTATATGAAATACTTTTAAAAAATAATATAAATACCACAGAGAAACAGACTGAATGCAAATGTACATTTTTCTATAATACTTTTTTTGTAATCAGGGTATTTTCCCTGTGTCCAAAGTTAAGATTCAGACACGGTTTCTGAAAGGCTTGTCAACGCTAAAATTAACTAATCTCCTGTTAAATCTCTTGTCAAGTCATCTGATTGGTTGTTAATAATCAGTCAACCAATCAGGTGACTTGACAAGAGATTAAATTGATTTTAACATTGATCGGCCTTTCGGAATCCGGGTGTAAGTATAGTTAAAAAACATTGATCTATATTATTTATATAGATTAACTAATTGAGATTTAATATAAGACTAGATAGTCTTATAACAATAGTTCAAGAAAAGATGACGTCGACTTGATGATGCCTATGATTACGGGTGATTCTTTTCATAAAGATAGCAAAACTACCAATGTAAATATAATGAAAGTCAACAGTTATAACACATATTGTAATTTTGCTTGCGAAGCGCGAGCCACTAAAATGTAGGAAAACTATTATTAGTTAAAAAAGTTAGGTTTCTTTGGAGAATCGCCCGTATTCAAAAAACTTGTTCAAATTATTGTTATTAATTCAAAACACACAACTTCATGTGACCAAAAATTTTGTTATCGAAATACGCAAAGAAAACTTGCCCTGCAAAATACTGGTTTTACACCCGGTTTCTGAAAGGCTTGTCAACGCTAAAATTAACTAATCTCCTGTTATATATCTTGTCAAGTCATCTGATTGGTTGTTGATAATTCAGTCAATCAATCAGATGACTTGACAAGAGATTAAATTGATTTTAACATTGATCGGCCTTTCAGAAACCGGGTGTTAATATAGTAGTTAGGGCGATAACAATATCATTTACAATATCTGTTAAGTGAAATCACTATTAATGTTTCAGACGACCGAATGACCACATCGAAGTCGCTAGGCTCGGGTCTCGAGACCGGTGACAAGCTGCTTTCAATATCAAACTTCGACCTATCACACCCTGACAACTCTACGGCCAAGACTAACGGATCCCATCAGAACTTTTTACAAATGGAAAAGCAAAATTTAGAAAAAGAAGGTAACGTAGAAAGAGGTTCGTTGGACACCCTCGTGCCATCCACACCTATTCTTTCCAAGTCACCACTCGACGAATTTAAAGCGAACATGAACCGAATAGACTCCCATCATAGTAATTTAGAATTCTTAGCCAAAGCGCAACAAGATAATAAGTAGATTTTATTATATAAGATTACATTTTCTAAAAGTCGCGATGACTACTCTTTTATATTGTGTAGCTTGTAAGATTCCTACTTCCTAGCCCTTAAATTACTTAAGGCTTAGACGGTACTGTGACATTTGACTATTTCAAATCATTTAAGAGACGGAAAGTACTATGATTCATCTTAATTTTTCAATTAAACTTGTGAATACATTAAGTACATCGTCATAAGGTTAGTAGTCGCGACTTTTAACACTACGTAGTGTATAAATTGTCCGGATTTGTGGTAATTACTGTTGTATTAAAGTATATTTATGTGTGTAAGTTGTACTGTATGACCCCACGTGTAAAGAGTCTCTTAAGTTTGTATTTAAACGCAAAATAATAAGAATCTGTAAGCTTTAAGCTGACCGGTATTACTTCTAACTGCCAGACTTTTGAATTCCTTCCTGAAATGTTAAAAATATTTGAAGATCTATCCCCGATTTGTGGGACTAATTGGGGTATAACCTGAACTAGGTTAAAACTAAAACAAAGTAAGTTAGTGTACATATAATGTGTATTGAAAATATTATAACTCCATAAAAATAATTTCTATAGTAAATCAGTATTTAATTTTCTCATAACTTGTGACTCAAATCTACATAATGAACAGAAGTTTGATTTCTTATATTATGTAAGAATTCAGGATATACCCATTTCGAATCAAATAAAGATTTTTCACTTAATTTAAATCTTATGAAGAATTTGTGTACACAACTAGTTGTCTTAATTTGCGAATTAAAAAGAAACGAGCTTTAATTTTTGTACAAAAGTCGAAATGAGATTTTGTTAAAAGGTTGTGCTTGTCTATGAGACTTCAAGTCATAGAGATTTAACGCTTCTTATCATTTATTTTCTGTGCTTCTTATGAATGTGTGGTGTTCCTATTATTGGAATAGAAATACATAGTTATACTTATGTATATAGTTACTGTATACATTTAAAATTATTATTATGTTAGGACGAAATATTAAATAAAAGGTGTGTGAGTTTTTCTTCTGCTTACAAAATAGGTTTTATTTTCGAACAACTGAGCTTATTCTGATGTCAGAATTTAGTTTTCTTTATAAATAATATTTTTGAATCCTCTAAATTGCATTCTGGATTCGTGACATGCTATTAAGTCCGGTTTATCAGGATATACGATTTATATTTACATGTTTGGTGATAGCATGCTTATAATATTTATAACTAGTGATGTACCCAAAGTAGATTTTTTAACATTTAGCATTAATATAAAACGTATAATGTATTTGGAGAGTTCAACCGTGTATTTCTAATGTCATAAGTACTTAACAGAATTCTACCTTTATTAGTATTTCCTACCAATTCAGTGTTGCCAGGCTAAGATATTCTACTGTTTTATATATTTTATATGTAAATCATAGTTTTTTTTTCAAATTACTGGCCTATGAACATGTTAACATAAATCTTAGTAATATTTCTGTGATTGTAAATACCATAAGCTTAATTAGGCTGTAATGGTCGCTTGGTAGTATTTAAGTGAATGTATTTAAAAGTTGCGCTTCTGTTTCACCTTAGTTATTTTGTCTGCATTTGACATTGAATTTCTACAATCGATTCATTAAAACTTATTTTACCTAGTCAATATGTTTCGTAAACTTGAAGAATACTGGTGTCGATTTATAATAACATAATTTTCAAAAAATTATATGTGTTTTACAAGGACAATTACAAATTATGTGTTGGATCCATAGGTAAAGTCTTTATGAAAATATCTGAGATAATTACTTAAATATTGTTTGATAAAGCATGGGTTTAAGAATTGCTCAAGGAATTAGGGTATAATATTTTCTTACTTGTCCTAAAATACGAAAAAGTATATAATATATTATTTCATAGATTATTATATTTTCTCTTTAGAATAATATTCTACACACACACATATAAAATAATTTTCTGCTTTTTGTTAAACTATTAAGATTCATTTTCCAATGTACGACGTTTTGTTTATTGAATATCGAAGCATGCAGAAACTTAGTCCTAGTACATTTATTGTACCTATTTAAGGGTAAGGACAAGTAAGAAAAATGGTAGGTATTTTTGGAAGTAACTTCATCAATTGCGTCAAAGAAACGGTGCTAAAAAGATACGTATAAAAGTGTAATGAAATTACTCGGTACGCGGCGAATTTGATATTTTTATAAACCCTTTTAAAAAGGAATGTTAGAAGAAAATCCTTATTACTTAAAATAATCGGCCTATAGTTCATTTGGTACTTATATAACACATGTGCTCAATTTCTTTTTGAACAATGTATTAAGAATAATAGTCTTGATCCGTTAAAATGCGATCACGTGTAAAGAATTTTATACATGAACTATGGATGGTTAACAACCAATCATATCTCATTTTAAAGATCCTCATTGCACCATCCACCAATCAGAAACAAGGAAATTTAAATGCTACATTGCTATTGGTTGGAACTGAATCTGGTGCCATACCATTCTAGTACAAACCTGCTTTGCGCGGGAAAAGTATTGTATTCTAGTGTTTTTGGATTTAATTTGTTATAACTTTCGTTTATCATTTGTTAGTACATATTAGTTGCCTATTTCTAGATTTTTTGTTAAACTCGAATCTATTTTTTTGTAAAATATTCTACCTACTTTTGTAATTATACTTTTCGAAATAGAAATACATCTGTGGAAGAAAATTAAATTTGTTTTTCTTTAAACCCTTTTGAAATGATCATCGATTTGTAAGTACCATCTACTGATCAAGGAAAATGTTTGAGAATTAACCTCGATCGCTACTCAACGAAGACAGACATTAGTGCTGTCTTAATGAGCAAGTGGAACTGGGAAGCCGTCTCTTCATTCTACGAAGATGTTATGCTAGTCAAGGAGGATGCGTAGCGCTAGTGGGAACTGTCCTCCTTACGCCATTGGCGCAGTAGGAGAAACTCAGAAGGTCGGGGTCAAAGTCAAAGTCATGAGGGGATCGGGCGACGTCTCTGGCACCGTAAGTGCAGGTCTGCGGACTACGGTAGCTCGGCAAAACCGGCCGACCAAAACAAAACCCAAGTGTACCGTCCTTCACTTTCTGGGTGCGTCCATCAGACCTTTACAGGTGGAGCCACTTGGGCTGAGGTCCATCTAGTCTGACAGACCTTCTCACCACACCTAGTGTGGGAAAACTGTCTAAATGTAGTTGTGAGTACGTTAACTGCCTTGTTGTTAGAATGGATAACCAACTGCTAAGAAAGAGATTTTTGTCTTCCTTCCTGCATCTGGTATTGGGCTTTTATCAGATTTTTGAAGGTCGTATTTTTTTCTTTTTTTAAAAAAGCACGAGCACAGCTTTGGATGCGTTTTATAAACACAATTTCACATTCAACACACACACAACAAATTGTTGTTTCGGGTCTGGGTGTGATGTGTAATCACACCCAGACCCGAAACAACAATTTGTAAGTCACACAATGCCTTGTTATGTGCGGGTATCAAACCCGCGACACGTCGCAGGGCAGCCAGTTGCCCAGCCACCGCGCAAACCGTGCAGTCATAGTAGTCAATTTATAAGCACGGATTCTGAAGTTTTGATAAAATATGGGAAAATATTAATTGGAAGTCCTATAGTCCTAGTGCTATATTTTTCAATTGCCAATTGTGAAAACACAAATAATGTATATGATAGTCTACATTCCCAGCAACTGATATATAAGTACAACTAAAAACATCACTTTAGAAACAAAATTCGACATTAGAAGTAATCATTGTGCTTACAAGTGGGTAACAACGTGAATGTCTGTAATACCTCAATGCAAGCGAGCATTGTGAACGATGTCATTAGTGTAGCGTCTTGAAAGCGTGGTGCCTCCGCGGGACTCTCTCCTGCAATTGTTATCTATTTACTTTTTGAAACGGTACCAAATCACTGTCGTTATACTAAAATCATTGTTTGTCACAAGCTATGAGAGGAAGCGGAGTTAAACTGTATTTTTTATTTCCTTTTTTTACTTTTATGGGAATTGTTATTCAATCTTTGCTCTTTACGTGGAGTGGGCACCGGCCCAATCTCATGGCGGAGTGGAAGCATCGTCTGTCTTAACCGAGGGCAGGGCTCACTGTTATAGCAGTGGTAAGACCCCTCTTTTAGCAGTGGCTAGTGTTTGAGCTCATCCCGCCACAGGAACGAAGAGAGGTTTAAAGGTGGACTGATCCACCACAACAGATGGAGCCCAATATGGCCGATGTTCTGTTGTGGTTCCGGGTGCGTAATAATTTACCGTGGAGTGGTTTTGAGTTAGAGACCACTGCAGACATGGTTAACACGCTCAGTGCCATGTGTATTATTTTCGATACACACTGTTCAATGACATATTATAAGGCTTGGCGCTGAAGTCCGCTACTATCGCCCTGCCTCAGAATACAGAACAACTGTATTCTGAGCGCCCTGCATCACTTTCAATATCATATTTTTATTATGGGATTTAAAATGAAAAGTTTATAACACTATTCCAAATCTTGCACATAGGCGGAAATGAGAAATATGCAATAAACAAACATTCTGTTGTCGCCACGACGGTACCATACTTCTATGGTGCAAGAGACAACGTACTCTCACATAATTTAACGACCTACTTGATAATAACGACCAATACTGGATCTTTTTGGTCGTAGAGTCTGTTGGGCGTGTACTAATGAAATAAAAAAAAACTGAGAAGTTGTTTTCCATTTATTTTGGGTAGGTTTACTTAATAGATATTTTCAGAGAGAGTAACTGTTTGAAGGAAAAACACTGGCAGGCTTCAGCCAAACCAATTTATTACCAAAAAATATTAATCTTTAGTCTAGGTTTAAACCATTGAGTCAGGTTTTGTATTTTGAATCTTATTTCCACCTACCATCAATTTGAAATACAAAAACTTGTTCAATGGTATAGACCTGGGACTAAAGAAAAACGTTGTTTTGTAATAAGGCCGCAAAAGTTTGTGCCTTATCCCAAACAAAGTGAACAATATAATTCGCAACGACCGTCGAACCAAGTGCAACAAACGAAAGCGTGGCCCGTTGTGCAGAATTACATAAAATTTATCACGGACTCGGTGACGGGACATTATCGTTGGAGTGATAACAGCGGTTACGTAAACCCACAGCGAAAAATTAGCGGGGCTGTGACAATAGAAAAACAGTAGGTGTTCTTGCTCTTTAGGTATTTTACAAATCTTAAATCTTGGTTTTAAATTTTTAAGCAATGGTTGCTCCTTATAATTGGTAGTTTCATACGTAAAAATAAATTAATTCGACGTTTCAATACAATAAAATATTGAAAAATAATTATACTTTTGTTCATCGATCGATCGATACACT